AACTCTGTGCCTTTTGTTACTGTTTGGATTACCTGGTCTCCTGAATTTTCTGTCTGCCTTTCTGTTAATGATTTTTGGATTTTCCCTTTGGATTTGTTTGCCTTCAGGCTTGGACTTATTTTTTGGTGCTTTTTCTGTGTTGGCCTTAAGAACCTTTTAATAAATCTTATGGACACTACCTGTTTTGCTCTGCACTTGAGTCTGTATTCCCCAATAGTCTAGTGGATTGGTGTTGGACTTTCACTCTAGAGAGCTGGGTTTAATCCCCACGCTGTGACAGAAGAGATCTAATAAGCTTTTATGCTTGGAGAAAAGAACAGTATACCACACATTATATCCTATACTCCTGTCATATACAGGTAGGTCACACTGTATGTGTGCAAAATATAATGTAATAATTCAGTATAAAAGGTGAAATCTTTCTCAGCTGCTTTCTTTTGTCTTTTTCACAAACAGCTTTCCTGTGAGATTATTATTATTATTATTATTAATGATGTCACTGTTATTCTGTTTCTTGGTAATTAAAGTGGACTGGACTTGTAGTGTAACTTCAGAACAACAAAACGTCAGGAGTAAAAAAGTAAATTATTTCAATTTCAGTGTTTGCTTTTTCTATTTGAAGTTCATCTAAAGGAACCGATTCAAAGAGTCGATTCATTTCCCAAAGCGAATCAGTTTTCCCGAATGTGAAAGTGTTTGTCTCTCAGCCGCGACTCCATTTTGAGGAGCGGCAGGAAAAGCAGAAAACAAACGGTGATATTAATGTCACACAACATGGACTGCTGACTAAAAGTGAGTTATTTCTTTAACAGAAGTGTCATTATATTTTACTGACCTCGTGTAGAAACAGCAGTAAAACTTCACTTCAGTGGAACTGAAGTCATCTTACCTGTAAAGCTGTCGTTTATCAGGTGTGTGTTATTTATTCGAGTTTCTCTCTTCCATTTCTCATTAATGAAATGAATTAATGAATTCGGAGTGTTCGGGGGGAATTTAGCTTTATTAGTGTGGAGCAATTATAGCCAAGCCACTAGGAGGCACTGTCGTATCTGTGACAGTCGGCAGGATTCCCTTTAAATACGCACTTCCGATTAACAGATGAGCTGCGTTTTAATCGTTTGGCAGACATCTGGTTGTCGCTGGAAGAACAATTCTGGGTAGGCCGTTTTATGAATGTTATTTTTTTGCAGAGAGCGTTAGCATTCCATTCGTTGGTCATTTGTATGATTAGATTTGTGAGGTATTTAAATTAGTGCTGGCCTATGCGTCGCTGGTTTAAAGCCAGTGACTTATGATTACATAAACTGTATGGGATGATGTTATGGTGTGTAATTATGCAATCGTTTTTTTAGTTGACTTTTGGATGTGCGCCTCAGACGCTCTGGATTGAATAACTGGTGTATATGGAATGATTGACACTGCATATTGCACGTGAGTGTTGACGATTGCTCGACTGTTAAAGCGAATTGTTTTTTTGTAGAGAAGTAATCTTTAGTGATTGCTGTTAGTTGATTGTAGATGTCTTACAGTCTCTTATGCTGGTTATTTCGGGCTGGACGAATGGTACAGCATACTGCGATGTATATGGTGATGATTGTAGCCCTTTAATGGTGTGTGATCGGCTAAAAGTTTTAAAGGTATTTATTTTAAATTTTTATTCTGAAAGAATGTGGAATTGTATAACATGGGTTGAAAAATTGCTTTGTTGCTTAATGTTTTCTTTTTTTTTTCTTTTAGAGTTGTTCCTGTCTAGCTCAGTTGATCACTGTTTTCCCTGCCTTGATTTTGTTTTTTTAAATTGTTTTCGTGAATTGTCTATTGTTTCTTTTCTTTTTTTTTTCTTTGTTGCTGGCCCATGACTACTGTAGGTCCACTAGGCTATTACTGGCAGCCTTACTTATTGTAACTATATAGAGAGGAAGTATATTCACTATTATTCACATGTGAAGTGGTTTGATTTATTTTATCCTTTGAGGTGCTGTGCGTGAAAACTGGAGTTTATTTTTTTGGGGGTTTATTCTATTAATCTTTTTTTTGTGTGTTAATCCCCTTTCTATTTATTTAATTTTTTTGAGAGTGATATCCTCGGTAGTTATTTATGTAAGTAAGTTGAGCCAGCTTTTAAGTGTAATTATTTGGGACTAATAAAGTTGAAATTGTGTTTATAGTAATTTTGCTGTAAGGGTATTCATTGATTTGAATAGCCGTGTGGGGGAAAACCCTTTTCCATGGCCTGGGATCTCCCACCCAAATAAAATCGGAGTGGCGTAGTCAAGAGCGGTGAATAAGATTACTTACTGTGTACTACCCCACAATCATAATGTGTTTTGAGATTTGGCTGCTGACGAGTCGCTGTGTAAAACCTATTTCATGTCCAGCATTTAGCAGATGCCCTTCTCCAGAGCGACTCCTTCATCTCATTTATACACCTGAGAGGTTGAGGGTTAAGGGCCTTGCTCAAGGGCCCAGCAGTAACAGCTTGGCAGAGCTGGGATTTGAG